TCTTTCAGCTCCACGGCGGGCGCGGCAACCGCCACCTGCACCGACATCGCCGCCGCTGCCGCCGCCTCCTCCGGCTCCTCCGGCTCCGGCTCCCCCAGGGCCGCCGGCCCCGCCCCGCCCCGCCCCTCCCCGCCGCGCTGCATGCCGGGACGCGCAGTCCTCCAGCACGCGCCCCGCCCACTCGCGACTACCGCTCCCGGCGTGCCCCGCGCCGCCGCGCCCCAGCCGCCTCCTCGCGGGGCCGCGCAAGGGTTGGTGGGAGTTGTAGTCCGGTGGAGGCGGAGCGCTCGCCGCCGTGAGGATGTTTGGTGTTTTTTTTATGCGTTTTGGTGAGTTTTCAGTGTTTCAGGCGGCGAGTTCCTGGAATCGCTGAGGAAGGAAAAGGCCGTGGAGTCGATCCAGTCCAAGCTGTGCCTGATTCCCGCCTCGTCAGCAGCCCTGAGCACTCAGTGCCACATCCAGGCCTTCCCTGGGCACTCCAAACATCCCTGGGCAGCCCCTGCCAAGGCCTGACCATTCTTTCCATGGATAAATTATCCTTAAAATCTGATCCAAACCTCCCCTGGCCCAGCCTGAGGCAGTTCCCTCTCCTCCTGTCCCTGTTCCCTGGGATGAGACCCCAAATCCCCCCCTCCTGTCAGGGACTTGTTCAGAGCCACAAGGTCCCCCCTGATCCCCATTTTCCTCAGGCTGAGCCCTTTCCCAGCTCCCTCAGCCTCTCCAGGGACTCCAGACCCTTCCCCAGCTCTGTTGCCCCTTCTATGAACCCRACACCACGGGACTCGGTGTCCCCAAAACGAGTGGGAGAATTCCAAATCCTGCAGGGAATTCTCAATTTTCAACCGTCAATTCCAATTCTCAAGGTCCCAAACTGATCTCAGTGTGGGAGGGGAGGGCAGGGGAGGGGAACAAGGAACCTCCCCAAAAATCAGGAGGGATGAGGATTTCAGGGCAGGGTGGGCTGTGAAGCATTGAACAGGCAGGAATTCCAGAGGGGGCAGAATTCCAGAAGAAAAGGAAAAGCAGCGCCTTTCCTTCATGCCTGAAATGTGATGTAGACAATTCCTGACGGAACTAAAATGAAGCAAATCCAGGATCTGCCTCCGACCCCCTGATGTGACCGTGTCCCTCCCTTCTGTAGGGTCGGGAATCTCCATCTCGGGGCCGATTTGGGGCTTTTTGAGGAGGGAACTCTTTGGGAGAAGCTGTGGGAGGGATTTGAAGCTGGAGCAGAATGATGGTCCTGTTCCATGGACTGGGAAACGTCGTGGCTGCTGCAGCGCTGTGGTTGTGCCGAGGAGAGAGAGGAGCTCGAGATGGGTGGAGATGGAGAAACCCTCTGGGATTCGTATTTGCACCGTGGAGATGGAGAAACCCTCCAAATTCAGCACCGTGGAGATGGAGAAACCCTGAAATCCTCTGGAATTCATCATCGCACCGTGGAGATGGAGAAACTCTCCAGAATTCTTCATTGCTCTGTGGAGATGGGAAAATCCTCTGAAATTCATCGTTGCACGATGGATGGGAAGAGATGGTGGAGATGGGAAAATCCTCCAAATTCATCATCGAACCATGGAGATGGGAAAAACCTCTGAATTCATCATCCTAATGTGAAGATGGGAAAATCCTCCAAATTCATCATCGTGGAGATGGAGAAACCATCTGGAATTCATCATCGCACCGTGGAGATGGGAAAATCCTCTGGAATTCATCATCATACTGTGGAGATGGGAAAATCCTCCGAATTCATCATTTCACTATGTAGAGGGGAAAATCCTCTGAATTCATTATCGCAGTGGAGATGGGAAAATCCTCTGATATTCATCATCGCACTGTGGAGATGGGAAAATCTTCCAGAATTCATCATCGAACCATGGAGATGGAAAAATCCTCCAAATTCATCATCAAACCATGGAGATGGGAAAATCCTCAGAAATTCATCATCACACCGTGGAAATAGGAAAATCTTCCGGAATTCATGATCGCAATGTGGACATGGGAAAATCCTCCAAATTCATCATCGCACAGTGGAGATGGAGAAACCCTCTGGAATTCATAATCGCTTTGTGGAGACGGGAAAATCCTCTGAAATTCATATTTGCACTGCGGAGATGGAAAAAGCCTCCAAATTCAGCACCGTGGAGATGGGGAAACCCTGAAATCCTCTGGAATTCATCATCAGAGTGGAGATGGAGAAACCCTCTGGGATTCATCATCACA